ATATTTACAAAAACGATTATTTACATTAAAATAACTAACCCTAACCCTAACCCTAACCCTACGCCTGACCTTGCTGCCTGGCCAAACCAAACCCTCAGTCAATGTAGCAGCACTCCCTTGCGAGTCAGGCTATTTGTCAGTCAATGTATGTACTTTTCGCTTTGTATAAAAACTATTTACGGGGACATTTTTTTACAAAAAAAACACTACTTACGAGGACAAAAAATTATCGAGTACACTAAAATGTCCCCGTTACTGCTAATGTCCTCGTAAGTAATCTGTTCTCGAACATGCTACTATGTGGATATATATATATATATATATATATATATATATATATATATATATATATATATATATATATATATATATATATATATATATATATATATATATATATATATATAGATAGATATATATATATATATTTATATATATATATATATATATATATATATATATATATATATATATATATATATATATATTTATATATATATATATATATATATATTTATATACACATATGTATATATATATATATATATATATATATATATATATATATATATATATATATATATATATATATATATATATATATATATATATGTATATATATGTATATATATATATATATATATATATATATATATATATATATATATGTTTATTTATTTATATACTTATATATATATATATATGTATATATTTATATGTATATATATATATATATATATATATATATATATGTATATATATATATATATATATATATATATATATATATATATTCATATATATATATATATATATATATATATATATATATATATATATATATATATATATATATATATATTATATTCATATATATATATATATACATATATATTCATACATATATATATATATATATATACATATATATATATATATATTATATATATATATATATATATATATATATATATATATATATATATATATATATATATATATATATATATATATATATATATATATATATATATATATATATATATATATATATATATATATATAAATCAGGGACTACTAAAATAACGGGACGCGAAACTTCAAATTGATGCTAAAACGACGACAGGGCCGATTGTAAATGGCGATGCTAGTTTGATTTAGCAAAGAAGTTATGAAAAACTTACATTATTCTAATTATATTCACATTTTAGAATACATTAAAGTGATACAAATTTATATTACTAATATAATGTATATATTTTTCATTAGTATCGTACTGATAAAATATAGGTTAATGCAATAGAAATATTGGGAGATATTTACAACATTTTAAAAAAAAAAAAGCCTTTTTTTTTTGAAAAAAGTTGCTATTTTTATTGAAAAAACAAAAGTTTTTTATTTTTTGAAAGTAGTAAGATTAAAAAATTGTATTAAGTAGTTTTAAATTTGAGTAATTTATTTTAAGTAATGAATCTATAAAGTGTTACAAAATGTTATGTCATATTTATAATAAATAATAATGGTGTTACTATTATTAGTTATAATCATGCCAAGAAAATATTAAATAGTTAATTGTACCACAAATTATTTAACATCAACTTCAGAAGAAAAGCTTCATGTTTACATGTTTCCAAGTGACACACAAAAGTTACAATATTGGTTGTCATCTATTCCAAATGCATTTGAAAAAGTAACTTAAAATATGGGTGTGTGTGAAAAACACTGGCCACCAGGCTGCAAAATGCACAAGCCTCCTCGATCAGAGTTTGAGGTAAACATCCTTAAAGTTGTTTTTATTGATCAGTTTTACAATGACTAATTTTAATAATATCTTTTTTAAGTTCCTGTTGATCCCCTATCTATTTTTCCTGGATGCACATCTTCAATGGTGCGCCAAACAGTCTCAACACAACCAAGATCTACAAATATAAATAAAATTTCTTTAACATCACGAAACGCAATACCTGATGAATTGGATGATTTCAATCAAATTGATTTAATTAGATTTTATGATGTTGAAATAATGTTGTCTGAAATATAAGAAAGGTAAAATTAATTTTTTCTCCTCGTTTTATGATATTTGTTTGTTTTGATTTAAAGTTTACTTGTTATTAAATCTATTTTAGATATCCTCAATACTTTGCATTCATTGAAAATTTAAAAGTCATATTGTTTGATGTTTCTCGATCATGTCTACCTGAAACAATATTTTTTGTTGAAATTAACTGTCATTCACGTCAATTTAATATTTATTGTAGACATACAAAAGTTAACTGCTATGACCTGCTCAGTTTTTCTCATTGTCTTACTCGGTGGTCACAGCTTGAAGCTATTGTCAAAAGAGTTTGTACCTCTAGTCCTGAAATAAAAGATGAGGTATTAAGTTTGATTAGTCAAATTGAAAATACATACAGTGATACTTCTGAAGAAATTTCTTTTCTCATTGAACAACTACGCCTCACCACTTATTCTCCAAATGGACTGCGCTTTTCTACTTTATGTATACGTCGTGCACTTGAACTGTATTTGTCCTCCAGATGTTGTTATCGACATTTAAGAAATCTGACTCTCATTTCAAAATTAGGAAGAGTTGGAGAAGTTGGAAATGAAAAAGAGTGCAATAATACAATCAAAGTTGTTTTTGGAAATTTTAATAGTTCTGAAAAGCGTTGAATTACTGTGTCTTTTATCAGATAACCATCCCACAAATCGAAGTGTTTACCAAAATTTCGTTGTTAATAAAAGTTTTCCATGGCAAGATGTTATAGAAAAATAAAAACCAGTTATTATGCTACACGATCCAGTTCACTTGTTTAAAAGTATATGAAATAATTGGTTTACGGAAAAAATACAAACAATTAGTTTAAAAGTTAATAATCAACCTCTCTCTGGTGATTGGTCTCACATTTTTCAATTATATAACAGACAGAAAACTTATGTTGCCAAAACTACAAAGCTTTCACGCAAGTCAGTGTACCCTAGTTTGATTGATGTTGCAAAATGTTGCAAACATGGTTGCTGTATTTAATGAAAAAGCTGTTGCAGCATTGAGATTAGCTAATTTTGAGAACACTGCATGTTTTTAGCACCAATTGTTTCATTATGGAACATGCTAAATGTAAAGAGGAAAGGTTGTGATGTTTTACTTAATGATATCAATAGGTCTCCTTTCCAGACTCTCGATGACCTTAGATTTAAAGAAATTTTAGCATTTGCTGATGCAACTTCTAAGATGTCAGAGGGAAAGGGATTAAAGCGTCATAATACTTTTACACCAGAAACAAAACATGCTTTAGTTAACACCCAACAAGGATTGGTAGAATTAATAAAAAAACTGCTTTCAGAAGATCACCAGTATGTTCTTCCCGGTATTTTTCAAACAGATCGTCTTGAAGGTGAATTTGGCATCTACAGGTAAAATTATTTTTTAGTTACTTATAGTAAAGAAAATTTTGTAGATTTGAAATCTAAAAAACAAATATTTCTCTCGTTTATTTAAATGCATTATTTTTTTAACATACATAAGTTTATTGATGCGTTTTTATTTGACAATTGCTGTTTTAACTATAATTTAATACTCGGTTCAACTCAATTTATATGGTTATATCTTTTTGCAAATTTTTTGCTTATTTGTAGACAACTAAGTGGCGGAAATTATTTTATCTCAGCAGAACAAGTATTGAACAGTTTGCACCTTCAGCGGTTAAAATTATTCAGCAAAATAGTTTCTTTGGGTGAAACTGACATTCATTGCTCGTGCATCCATTAAGACTGTTTCACAATGGATCTAATGGAAGAGGATATTATTTATTTAGATGAATGTTTAATTAATGCAGACAATGAATCTATTAATGATCATATTAATGATTTAATTAATGCAGACAATGAATCTATTAATGATCAGGAGAATGCTGCCCTTTTTTATATGGCTGGTTATGAACAGCACAAGATCGATCCGCAGCGTATAGTTGATACAACAACATCACAATCAGCTAGTTCTGAATTTACAGATTATGTTTCATCGTGGTATATCCTGGTGATACTCTTCTCCAGTTTATTTGTGTTTGTTATCTACTGTTTAACAGCGTTCCAATGTCTGAAAAACGTTTTCAATGTGTTGTTTATTTAAAGAAATTATTTTTATTTTTGCATTCAACATTACCATTTGATTTAGAAACAGACAGTATAGGTATTTCAAAAGTTATCTCAATAATAACTAACTTTTTCTTAAAAGGTGTTACGACCCTTGATAATACATCTGATATTGTCCTTGATATAATACATCTGATAATACATCTGATATTGTTAGTGGTCTGCTTTATTTAGTTGACGTTGGTGATATAATTAATAACGTTTTGAAATGTATTTATGGCTTTATATTTATATAGTTTAAAACTTGTTTATAATTATATATTTATTATTATGATATGAATACAATATAGTATGATAAGTAGTGATTAATTAGTTTGTTAACATTGTCTTTAAAAATAATTATTTACAGCTAATTTACGGATAATTTACAGTTTCTTTGTAAAAAGTTGTTTTCTTTTTAACCCTTAATCAACACAATTTAATTTTTATTTGAAAATAGTGATAAATAATTGAGCCATAACATTTTTTTTATTAAATTTCTATTCATAATTATATTTTTGTTTAATAATAGAAGTGTTTCGCTTTTTTTTTCATCGGCCCTGTCGTCAAAACTACATGAAATTAGAGTTTCGCGTCCCGTTGTTTTAGTAGTCCTTGATATAAATATATATATATATATATAAGTATATATATACATATATATATATATATATATATATATATATATATATATATATATATATATATATATATAACATATATATATATAAATATGTATATATATATATATATATATATATATATATATATATATATATATATATATATATATATATATATATATATATATATATATATATATATTTATATATATATTTATATTTACGTGTAATTTATATTTGTAATACCTGTATACATATAGCATTCCTTAGTTTCCTCGTAACATGTTCCGTTTGAATATACGTTCCTAGTATTGAATCCGTAACCACTTGAGGTGTTACATAACGATTCACTTTGATAGGACTTAGGTACTAAAGTTATAAATTTATTTTATTTGTATTAATACAGTGATGCCAGTTTATAATGCAAGAAACTGAAAATGAAACAAAACTAAACAAGACCAAAAATTAAATATATTTTTTTCATATTATATATTTTTTGTACAAAGACTAATTAGTTCCTTACTTCTCTATAAAACGTAAACTGACACCCTCACTTGACACCAACATTTAAAGAAGACAAGGTCGTGTTTCTCTCTTCTAACTTTTTTTAATTGATTATAAAACATTGTTTATGATTTATATTTAAAATGATATATGATTGCTTACTTTAAATATTTTAAGGGGTGTTAGTTTAAAAATTTAAGGAGCGTAGGAAATTTAGTTCGTCCCTATAAATTTGTACTAAATCTATCACTTTAAACCACTTCTTTTATTTCTTGCTTGCATAATTAGATAAACATAGTTTTCAATTTTGTGATCACTGACTCAAATACCTTATAGACTTCAACTTAGAGTTCTTGCAAAAAACTTTTAGTTCATTAAATATGATTTGATCATGTTTATTTAGCGCATCCCGCAACCTTTACTACATCAACAAATGCATCCAGTACTTAGTTTGACAGTTTTTCAGCCTTATATAATAACTTACCCAGTCAGAAAAAAGATATCTTTAGACGAATAAAAGACGTCTTTTTTATGACTTGTTATGTCTTTTTATAATCAGCCTAAATAAAGACGTGAAAAAGACGTCTTTAAAAATGACGTCTTCAAAAAAGAGGTCGAAAAGACGTCAACCAATTGTACGTCTTTATTAAGACGTAAAAAAGACGTTTTTTATAGCGATAATCTATAAAAAAAGAAATCAGAAAATTTTCATTTAAATGTTAAATTAAACTATACCCAGAAGAAATTTTTTTTTCTTTAGGAAAGCAGAGGGAAAATTCACTAATGTTCACACTAGGAAACAACTTTATTTGTTGATAAGTAAATCATTATTTGTTTGAGAAAATTAAAAGTAATTATTACAAATAGAACCTAACAAAGATAGGTTTCAACACACAGTATCGTAATTACAACGGGTAGCAGTAACAGTATCGAAATCAGCCAAACTGAATAATCTCGATAAGGGAATTTCCGGAATAACATTGAAATAGAGAATAACATCGAAATTGTAAAAAAAGGAATTGTATCGAAAATCCGAAAAATAAAATAACCTCGAAATTGTGAAAAAAAGAATAATATCGAAAAGGGACTTTTCGGAATAATATCGAAAAAAAAAACATCTCAAAATTGTTAAAAAAGGAATAGTATCGAAAATCCTAAAGCAGAATAATCTCGAAACAGCTCAAAAGAGAATAATATTGAAAAAAGACTTACCGGAACAATATTGAAAGTGTAAAAAAAGGAATAGAATCGAAATTTCAAAAAACGGAATTAGATCGAATTTGTAAAAAAAGGAACAATATCGAAACGGGACTTTCCGGAATTATATCGAAACTGTGAAAAAAGGAATAAAATTGAAAAAGGACTTTTCAGAATAATATGGAAAAGTTGAATTTTAATAATAGGTTTAAAAACTCCAAAAGCAGAATAAATAGACGGCAGTTTTTTGTGGTTTTTTGCGGTTTTTAATTAAAGTGTAGTAATTATACAGTATAGTTGTATAATTTATACAATATAAACAAAAAGCTCTATTAGTAGAACAAAAAATATTGAATGTTGTGTTGTTGGCTATTTATGACACGATTCAAAACAAGATGTATTGACTTTATTTACATAGGCACTTCACACGATTTTACTATTACAATTATCTCTTGTTATAATTAATACCAAAATACGCGGATAACGAAGAAGCTTTCAGAATGTGTTCGTTTTTTAAATTTGGATAATTTAAGTTTGTTCCCAAGTTATGAGAATCTATGTTGGGCTCAATAACTCCTATTTCGCGTCATGATTTGTTGAGTTTTTTTTAAGGATTTATGGCACTAAACTTTTTTCATATGCTATCAAGAAGGAATTTCATTGAAGTACTTATGCTGAATATTTTTATTGTTTTCTTTTTTACTAAAGCATTCAATTCTACAAATTATCATTCTCATATTAGGGGCCCCTAGGTAAGAATTCCACTCCTCGTTTACCCATTTGGGGCAATTGGATCAAAAGCTATATAATCGCCCATTCAGGACAATAAGGTAAAAATGTAAAAATACACAAAGCCCGTTTTCCCATTTTGGGGCAAATTGGGCCAAGAGTAATGGCTCAAATCCTAAATAAGTAAATTTTGAACTCTAATTTATGAAGTGCACCACTACTTTTATGAAATATCATGCAAATAGTTTTGTCGTTAAGATGGAAGTGTGAACAAAGAGTCACATTATACCTGAACTTTATCATATTTTGATTTTACGCATTGCAACGCGTTAAAGCGAAGTATGATAAAACTCACAAATCCATGTTAATGACAAAACTATGAACATAATATTTCACAAAAGTTGTGGTGCACTTCATAAAGTACAGCTCAAACTTTACTTATTTTCATGCTTCTTTATCCGCTTAAATTGTAAATCAAATCCAAATGACTCACTTATAAATAATGTTATCATCTGCAACAACAATGTTGTTTTTATCATAAATAACGTGTTGTATCTTAGAAATATTAGTGACATCTTTTGGAAATAATAAAAAATATCGCCTTTGTTTAAATGCTTGACAACATTTGCCCTTTAGTGATTTTTTAACAAAATGATTTTAGGCCCACTGCGTTGAATGTTAACTAAATATTTTATGTAAGCAAAACATAAAATTCCAAAAAGAACTACTAAAAACCTACAATGTAAAAAAATAAATCGTCCTTATTACAAATTCTGATAGAGGGGAGGAAAAACGCCTCCTTGACCCCTCCCCCATGACGTGGCCAATGTAAGTATACTCCCACGCCGTCGCCCATGTTCAATTATACTTGTTAATATATTATTCGCAAAGTACATTCATAAAAACTTTTGTAATGCGTTTTAGGAAACTCGACTAACTTGAAGAATAAAAATATTAGTGAATAAAATGTATGAAGATTAGTAAATCTACTAATCTTCTAATAATTTATTTTATGTATAGACATATGTATGTATATTATGTATATTGTACTTTTTATAAAAAGTACAATCAATAACCTTCTATAAATTTACAAGCCCATATCTTAAAAATTTTTAGGTTAGGTTGGTCGTTTCGGAGAGAGAATAGCAAATCTTAATCAATTTTTATAGCGTGACACTAAGAGCAGTTGGTCAAAAAAGGGATGTCAATTGCTCACGATTATCTCCTCCCCCTCCCCACATCTACCAACAGTAAGGACGTTATAAATTTAATAAAACTTACTTTTAATAGAAAATTTATATCAATAGCAACTCTTTAAACAAAACGCATATTTATTATAAAGCAAATTTAAGATGAAAAAGCCTTTTTTATAGTTGTTTTGTGCTGGTCTCTAAAATCTGGGTCTGTGTTTTATATAATCTATAAGGTGTTATTTCTTGGAAAGGAAATATTTTCAGCATATGGTTTTCACATACTTTTTGACGAGCTCTTTCCAATTACATAGTTTTTTGTTTAATTTTTATATATTTTTTTGCTGACTGTAACAAGTTATGATCCCGGCCCAAAATGTTTCAGCACTCGTTTTCTTCTTCTTAGTTTTAACCTAGTTAAACAAGCTAAAAGCTAGCTAGACAAGTTAAAACCTAGTTAAAAAAAGCTAACCTAGTTAAGCAAAAAGTTGCTTCTAACACGCTTGTGCACACGAAAGTGCTAATTGTAACATAGCAACCCTCACTATAAGTATTTTGTTGATACTGTCACTTGCTTCAAGGAAACTTATTTAATTTTGCTAGACAAGCAGCTGTAGAATTTTATGCTACATTTATCTATACAATAACTTTAACATGTAAATGACTATTGTTTCTAGGGAGATGGAATTTATTTAGTACCTATCCTTAACGTAATATGGGGTTTGCTCAACTGAAACCAATACAATACGCCAACTTACGGAAAATCTTGTAGGCTTAAATGAAATTTAAAGTCATTTATGTAAACTAAAAAATTACGTTATTGATTATTTTTTATTCCAGGCGGAGCAATAGGAAAAAAGTTAATACCGCTTTTATATAATAAATTTTTTCTAATAATTTTAAACAATTGTGTGACATTCTAGTTTTTAAAATATAGGTAAAAGGGAAAATTTTACTGAATCATTGAAAAAGTTTAATTATGGATGATATTGGTCCTCGGCAAGTGGGACAATGAGCTGTATTGCTTTTTTGGACTTGTTGAATGCAAGGCTGACAAAACAAAAAATATTTGAAAGGCATTACTAATGCGTTTTGTTCATTGACGGTACAAACAACGCACTTCGGTGACTCTGTTGAAGTGAATGTTGGCAAAGGAAGACTCTCACCAACCTCGTTCATTGAGTTTTCATTCAAAGCACTAAAAATATTTAAATACAATTTTCCATATTTCATGGAAAGTAACAAATTATCAAATAAAGTTAAACTAATTAGTTTGGTAAAAAAATTGATAAAGGTTAATAAATAAGAAGTGTTACACAAAAACTTGGAAAATTATCTTACACTACTTTGAAGTGTTGAAAGAGATATGATACTGTTGATAAGAATCTCTCAGTTGTCCAAACTCCGTCTTAAAGTTTTTTCTCAAAACAACGCTTATTTTCAATTGCACCATAGTCGCGTTGGTCACGGCGGTCTGGCTGATTGCAGGCAAGCTGTTGAAGCTCTTGAATTGTATGGACTATTACATGTTGGTTAAGCAATTTCATAAACTGCTAAAATCCTTTATGTCGATCACCCATGTTTGATTTCAGACGTCTATTGAGACTCTCTGCATTGTTATTGGTTTTGTTGTTCAAGCCATAAACACTGAATCCTTCTGGGATCACTATATTGAGCCAATACCTCTCAAAATACTTTTTAAAAGCAAGTAGTTTGATTTTGATTTCGCGACTAAATTGTGCAATCTCT